GGGGGGGGGGGGGGTAAAAAAAAGAAAAAAAAATAGTGATTCTTTTATATATTCTCCAATTTTTTCAAAACCCCTAGACAAAATCCCAGATAGCCTACAAGAATGGGTGAAACACAGGAATTTTTCTAAAAAAATGCATTTTAACAGCGACTCTTATGGGAATTCGGAAAAACAAATTAAACATAGAAAAAAAAGTCGCCATCTTCCTGAAATCTTTCACGTGGATGGAGCTTTCATGGAGGAACATAAAAAAATAATCCAAGTAGCCTAGAAGAATTGTTTAGAAGGGAAAATTGAAGAACTCATGAAAAATAGAAATTGTACGTACGCGACTTTAGGCCAGTCAAATTACGGTTTGGAAATCAAGGATGATAGAAGAAGGATAAAAAACATGAGATATCATGCGGAAGAATGATGTGAAACACATACTAAGTTTTTGGGATTGTAGCAAACCGGGAAATTGTAAAAAAAAATTCAAAACTGCAAAATTAAGCGTCCACGCGACCTTTGTACTTTACGCGGACGAAACCGTGATAGATAGGATAAAAATGCATAAGACTTAACTTTAAACAAAAATTTTTTTGGTAATTTTTTCATATTTTTGGAGGAAATTAGCAAAGGAAACGTCTGCAGAAGTTCCGCTACGCGGAGAATATGGAGAGTGGGGAGATCAAGCGCCTGGAGTGGGGCGCGCCCGACGACAACATTTCTCTGAATCTAAAATAATTCATAGCACACTAAGTATTGAAAATATGAAAAAATACCAAAATATCAAAAAATAAAAAAAAAAATCAAAGAATTTTTATACATTGAAAAAATGCCAAAAATCGAAAATTTTTCCTTTTATTATTAAAAATCTACATTAACAAAGGCCAAGAAAAATATGAAAAAATTCAAGATTGATCCCAATGACGCAAGTTTGGGATAAACGAGCTTGATTAAAAACTTGTCCAGTCAGATTATATCTTGAAAAAACAGCAATTTTTTCAGTTTATCAACAAATAATAAGTTAAATATGAAAGTTGAGTGAAAAGGTAAAAAAAGTGAAAATGAAGAGGAGAGAACGAGAAAAAATCACCTTTTGTTCTTATTCCAATAAGATAGCTGCATCAAAAATTATGTTATGGTAAATTTTGGTTAAAAAATGAAAAAAAAAAGAGAAAAATCGGAACTTCTGAAAAATTGAAAAATGTTTTTAAAAAAATTTCCTCTCTTGGAGACATTCTGTGAAGAGTCAAGATGCATTCTGATTTTTTCCGATTTTTTAATCAACTTTTTCATAAATTATTTGTATTTTGTAACTAAATTGGACTTTTCGGCGTTGGCAGCGAATCAGCTTTTTCATAGTTCAACTTTGAGCGCACTTGGCGGCTTGATGGTTGAAATTACGAAAATGCCGCCACTAACTTTTTTGTAGGAGGAAATTTCATGCTCTACAAATTGCTTTGCTTTTTTATCCTGTCTATGCTTTTTTATCCTATCACAGTTTCGTCGCGTGGATGCTTAATTTTGCAGTTTTGAATTTTTTTGAACGATTTCCCGGTTGGCTACAATCCCAAAAACTTAGTATGTGCTTCATATCATTCTTCCGCATGATATCTCATTGTTTTTATCCTTCTATCATCCTTGATTTCGGCCAAAAAAAGTCCTTATTTGACTGGCCTACTAGTCCAGTCAAATTAGATTTTTAACATCGAAATTAACCAAAGGGCACCAAATTACACCAATCGATAGCTAAAAGTGTAATTATTAATGTTTTAAAAAGTATATGCTCAAATTTGCCGGGGTGATTCACAATTTGTTATAAACAATTGGGAATTACCGACAGGCCGTCTTCAATCCTAGATATCTTTAGTTAACCTCATCAGATGGGAAAAAAAAATATTTCTTTGTAGCTGAGAAAATGTCCTATCGGGGGTAGTTAGGAACTTATAGCCCAAAATGTACCGTTAATTTATTATAAATTATAATAGCAATTTCGGAGCAGTCGGCGCAACGCGTCAGCTGTTACCCTCCCTGCGACAGTGCCATGAGTCACGTGATTGGCGCCATGCGCAACTTATTCAAACCTCCTGCTGCGCTCAACGCAATGGCTGGATTTTTGATGAATATCTCTGAATCTGTGGCTAGTAGTCAAATTTTCATTATAAACTTTTTTGTAGATCTTTATTTGCTCTATAAAAATGGTTTTGACCAAAATTTTGCTATTCTCCAAAGTTTCCGAGATATTCAATGAAAAATTAACAATATTCAAAATATTTTTCATTGAATATCTCGAAAACGTTAATACTTACACTTTTAGCTATCGATTGGTGTAATTTGGTGCCCTTCGGTTAATTTTGATGCAAACGACATTTTCAGAGCTAGTTTGACTGGACTATACTTGGAATAGCGACAACGTCGAGGTTCGCATCACCTCCTACGTACGGACCCCGCCATAAATACCTTAACCCCTCACGTACGGCGCCCATAAAACGCGGCTTGTCACAACGGCCGGGAGACTTATGGCGCGTCAACTCCGTTATTCAATGAACAATAACTTAAAAACAGTCGACCGAAAAAGTTGAAATGAAATGCATTGGCTGTATTGAACTTTGAAATAAACTCCTGGAGAATTTCCCAATTTTTGACACCAATTTCAATGTTTGCCAACAATTGGTTACCGATATCTTCGAACATGCTAAATTTATTTATAACAAACAAATTATTCAACAAATCGAAATTTAACTCCTGCCATTCGATAGAAGCATCATTGAAGTATTTCCATTAAAAATTTCAAAATTTTTGGGGAAATTTTATCGATAAACGAGACGATTTATTATGATTAAATCGGTGGCATGTAAAATTTTCATCTACAACTTTTGTTCATAGTGAAAAATATTATAAATGCATGAAAAAAAATACTTAATGGCAGAGACAATTCCGTTGACTTTCCAAATATCTTTTCCAAATCTCAATATGATTCGTAGAATTTAAGAAAATGATTTTTTACTGTTGCCAAAAGGGTCGATACCATGCATTGACCCCAGCCGACAGGATAAGTTCATGGGTCGATGCATGGTATCGACGCCGTACGTGAGGGGTTAATTTGAATTCCTGATTTAATAAACTTCGAATTACACACAGAAAAATGATTTATTTGAATTAATTGAGCTTTATTTGAATCAATTATTTGATTCAAAATCGATTATTTGATTCAATAAGTTTATTTGAATCGATTATTTGAAATAACCGATTTATTTGGTTCAAACAAAGTTTATTTAATTCGATTTTTTTCCACTCAGTTTTTCTGCGTGTATGATTGTCCCATGAAGGCATCGGACGATTTGCCCGCATGAAATAAATCGAGAGCAAGCACAGTGCATGTGTTGAAAAATTCGATTGGCGATTTATATGAGTTATTAGAAACTGTTAGTCTAGTTTAAAAAATATGAGATTTAATGTCGCAATAACAACAACTTCTTCGAATTCTGTTTTGATCTCTTTATTTTTTGTTTCCTTGTGTTTTCTTTGCTTTTTTTTTGCTTTTTCCATTTTTACAATTTTGTCAATACTTTTTAATATTTTTCTTTTTTTTTCATTTTTCCTATTTTCTTCCACTGCTTCCAGTTTTGTTGTATTTTTCAATTTTTGCAATTTTTTTGTATTTTCTGCATTTTTTCTATTTTTTTTATCTTTTTGTTTCACTTTCGGCTAACAGTGCGTTATCCGAATGTACTCATTGACTGGCGAACATTAGATCTTTACACGTTTGCCCATCACCCAGCAATTTTTATACGAAAGAGCGCGCATGTTAAACTTGGAAGTCCCCTGCAACTGCATCTCACTCGTGTAACTATTGCTGTCGATTAAATTAATGATTTTCTTATTTCACGGAGATCAAAATTTCACTCAATCCTAATGATTTAAAAGACGCCCGTGAAAACGGTGTAAAAATCCATTTTTGAACGAAAGTCATTTGGATTCATGCTATATTGGTCTCCGTGTGACAGACCAGAAAATCATAATTTTTGAATGAACTTCGAATTTAGAAATATCTAGATTTTTTTTAAAATTTGAAAATTTGATACTGATTTTTTGCAAAAGAAAAATGTATAGTAATCCGAAAATGAATGGGCTGAAATTTGCTAAAAACTATAACAATAACAATTTTATGTCACTAAATAAATTATACGTTACGGTCCCCGGACCATTTCCTGACGAATATTATGGCTTTTTTATGGCAAAATGGATTCGTTAAACTTAAAAAAATTTTTTGTTTTTTTTCCACTGAACTATTCCTCTGCGCACTAAATTCCCAAGCTCTTCGTCTGTACGCTGACAGAAGGATTTAGTTGCTGTTAGAGGATTTCTAAATCTGAATACCAATCGTTAACAGTTAACGAATGGCATTAATAGTTAAGAAGCTTTATTAATAATCAAAAAGTGTGGCATGGAATCAAATGACAAAATCTCTAGTCCAGGAGCATAGAATTCGCTTTGGGTTCAGGTTTTCTTTCATTGAGATTTGTTGGATAGACGGTTTCTACGCAGTATGACATTGTCAGACGATCGTACAACAGAATCATCTTTATATACATTTTATCTGTTAATTCGAGGAGATTGTAACATTTCTTTTTCCACCATTGCCAAACATTCATTCGTGGTATATTTAGGGCATGGACGGGAGCTGTAATGATGCACGTGTCAGTCTGCGTTTTCTTATTGTAGCTCATTTTTCCGTACATGAGGATGATGTCCGGTTGAAGCAAAGCCGAAATGACCGTTGTCTTGTCTTGTGTATTGTTGAAAGCAGTTGGGTCCTTTGCAGGTCTGGTATATTTTTGAAGACATCTTTCCGGGAGGTCTGAATTATCGATGAATAGGAACCGTAAGTAATCTCTAATTAGCGATTTTTTCGTCGGGTCCTTGAACCATTCAAGAATCGGGGGTTTCTCATTGATATACAGTTTGTCGTTGGTGACGGTTTTGAAGTGCGGACCAAGATCATCTTCGTCGAATCGCAGTTGCAGTTCTTGTTGCTTTTGCGGGTCATAGGTATCTCTGTAGAGAACCTGTCCGTTTTGATTATCAATGACGACTCCCTTCCAATCCCACTTCTCATCTTCCATTCCTCCCATTACGTGCAAATTGGAATGTCCCAGATTGGGGTCGTCAACGGCGTTAATGTATTGAGGTATCAGAAGTATTACAGCAAGTTTTAATATTATTTTTTTGTTAATTTTTTTTGTTAATAAGTGAATTATTAATATGCAGATTATAAAAATTGTTATAAAAGGCCATAAAAGGCCATAAATTGTTATAAAAGGTCCATCTCCTTCCAAGTCCATTTTTGTTTGTTGATTCTGAAACAAAAAATTCTATATTTCCATATTTTCTGTGAAGATATGGAAATTTGGGTTAAGGGGGGGCCCCTGCTAAAATTTGAAAGTCCTGTAATAAAAAATGGGCCTCCGTGAGATTTCTTTCCCATGTGTAGTCACAAAAAAAAATATTTTGACTCACCGAAGCCCATCCAAAATGGCGGGGAATTTAAAAAAAAGAAAAAACCGATTTTGCGCTTTACAAATGTAGAAAGTGAGTAGAAATGATCAGATTGTCTTGGAATTTATACACAATATTCAGAACACTAGAATCAATAAAGCTACGGACGGAAATTCGAATCCAATAATTTTTACATTTTAGATCGGCCAAAAATAGAAAAAAAACACAAAATACGAAATAATCGAATTAGCCAATTGCTTCTGGGACCAGTTCTCTTAGTTTTTAGCTTGTATCTTCGAATATCCTGGAAACTATAGTATATAATCTCGCAGAATTGTAAATTGAAATCGATTAGTTAATAAATTCAATTTTTTCGTATTTTATGATTTTTTTTATTTTCAGCCAATCTAAAATCTAAAAATCATCCGATTCAAATTTCCGTCCGTAGCTTTGTTGGTTCTTGTGTTCTGAACATTGTGTATAAATTTCAAGATAATCCGATCATTTCTACTCACTTTCTACACTGTTAAAGGGCAAAATCGTTTTTTTTCGGTTTTTTTAAATTCCCCGTCATTTTGGATGGGCTTAGGTGAGTCAAAATATATTTTTTTTTGTGAATACAATCGTCAAAAGAAGTTCGTAAAGAACGTGAAGTTGCATTCCATATAGAATTACACAGGATGTAACTCCACACTGTTCACGAACTTATTTTGGCGATTGTACACATGGGAAAGAAATCTCGGGGAGGCCAATTTTTTATTGCAGGACCCACATGGAAAAAATATATATACAGAAATATATGTTACTTATATCCGCTTATATGTGGTATACTTTCCGACAAAAAATGCAATATTTGAGATATATGTTGGATATATGTGTGTACATATATGCCACCGGGTATACCTAGCACATACCTGGTACAAGGCGGATATATTCAAGATATAATTCCAGCAAAATCACTATATCTCACTTATAAGTTTTGGCTTATATTTTTTTCTATGTGGGGACATTCAAATTGCAACAGTGTCCCCCCTTAACATAATTCTTTTGCAAATTATAGTGATAATTTTTGATAATTCAACTGGTAATTTTTCATGTTAATGTATATATGAAAAGCAAGATTTCCGGGTCGAGTGAGTCCCTCATTGGAACTAACAGATGGATTTTGTCTCATAGTGCAATTCTTTTGGCCGAAATTTGGATGGAAAAATTCTCTTCTGAATACCACTCGAGCTTCAAAATCAATCAGGTATTTCCCTCAAGGTTCTCTGCATACAAATGAACTCGTCCAGGGGCGGCGGAACGTGAAAATTTGAGGTGTGGAGTAAATTTTTCTGGAATTACAAGGGTCACAAGGGTCAACCGGAATAGACGTGCGGGATTATCAGGAGGGTCAAATGGTCTTATTTTCCCTGGTTCCCTCTAATTATGTTAAAACATTGTACCATTTTTCACTTATTTTGTTTATTAATTCGTATATCAGACTTTGGAGGTGACATTGCAAACAGGCCTCTTCTTCTCTCCTTTCGTGAGATAAATTCATCCAAAATTTTATGTAGATCTAACTCAGTTGGTCATTGAAAAAAAAATAGAGTTTTCATAAAATTGTAGAACAATTATTTTTCTTTCAATTTTTTTGAGATATAGAATCCATACTTAAAAAACTTTGAGGTATGGAGCGACCAATAAACTCCACTATGGTTCCGCCACACCTGAACTCGTCAAGTTTTTCAGGAAAAATCACGCGTGCTCCGCACTCGTGATTTTTTAACCTGAAAAACTTGACTCCTTCGTTTGTTTGCAACGAACCTATCGGGTAATCTGTGATAATTTACATACGATTACATATGATGATTTTTCGCGGTCTCGATTGACCTAGTATCATATCGTCATGATTCGGGGAAAATTTATCTCGTCTTATTTTTTTTCTGTTCTTCATATTTGTCTCGATTTTAGAATTAGGTTCTGGTCTCATAAACATGAAAAATAGGAAAAAGTTAGTACCGAAATGAGACGATATTATGTCTTTTTTTTTGAGGACCTCAATGATCATTGCAAAGTAAAATTTCATCTAGTCTCAAGGGGGCAGCTCTAACGAAATAGTACTTTTCGGCAGAGAGTTGAAGTTTCATAGAAAAACCCGGCAAATTCGATACAAAATGCTATTAGTTTCTGGCCACTCTACTGAAGAATTCCGCAGCTTTACCTTTTCTTTTGTAGTTGTCATCGGCCAATCGATTTTTTTAAAAACAAGAATTCGAAAAATTAATATCTAAATTGAATTTTAATTAATGTCGAGAGATAAGGTTCAACATTTGAAGAATCGGAATACAGTTCGATAGATAGAGCTAAATTTGAAGAAAAACAGAATGATTACGAAGCTTTCATTCGGAAGCAAAAAAAAACAACGAGCATCATCTAACGCCATATCTATTCCAAGACAAGTCCTTGTCGCAGATAGGCTCGCAGTTTAGCGGATGATTAATAGGAATGATATCGGAATCGAACGACGGGGGAAGCGGGCGTTGGTTGTCGTTAATTAAGATGGCTGATCGTTTTACCACTGATATGTAATATATACCGGAAAACGTACTGATTTTCAAGGCTGTCTGTCTTACTCTACCGGAAGCTGGAAACTGATGACATATTTAATATTTTTTCAGTATATACTACTGTATATCAGTATATATATACTACTGTATATCAGTATATAGTATATGTGCTAAAACCGAATTTGTAACGTAACTTGCAATATAGTTATGTAAACAATTTAATTATTAAGGGCCTTTTACGCCGCCATTTTTGACACATATCAAAAAATGTTTCGAACAAACAATGTTTTTTGAAAACTAATGAACAAACTGAATTTTTATTTTTGGAAATCGGTCAATTTTTGCGAAAGATATAGCAGTTTGCAATAATTGGACGAGAAAATGCCAAATATTGACCAACGATTATGTCTTAGAAGAATAATAAGTGAGAAATTGTTTTTGTATTGCATATGGGGCATTCCATGTCAATTCGACGGGTTTTATTCTTGACCATCTCATATTCGTTTCATTTTTTTTGATGATTCTACTCGATGAAAAATCCACCCTGATTTTTTTTCAGATTTTTTAAATCAATTCTTCAATTTTTTATCAATTTTTGAAGTAGATTAACGAAAGTCTCATTTTGAAAATCTGAAAAAATTCACAAAAATTTGATGCAATCAAAAAGTTGTTTCAAGCTATTTTTTAGAGTGGAAATAGAAATAGTACGCCTTACGCTAATCCTATTTCTGTATGCGTTAGGAAAAAAATTACATTTTATCTATGGAATTTGCGTTAACGGAAGTGCTGAATTCGAATCCGACGTCGATTTTTACAAGTTGTGGTCAGTTCTATTTATTTATAACATCTTAGTTGTTTAATCGATCATATCATGGAAACGGTTGTAGATAGAGGAAAACATTTCAAACAAAAGATGTTTGTTATATAAAAATACACATTTTTTATCGTATAACTTTTTCTTTTCACTGCAATAGATAAAGCGTTATCGTGGATGGGAGGGAAGTGCGCAGCACGTTAACACTTGCGCGGATGTTGGCGCGCTCCGATGCGTTTATTGGTAAACTCGAACAAAATGTTCACCATTGAATTTGACATATAATTCATGATTTGCCATTTGATCTGTCAATTTTTTATGAACTTTCTAGGTTGATTGACGAAGGCCCCTACTGGGAAATTTGAAAAAAATTACAAAAATTTGATATTACCAACGAAATATTTTACGGCATATTTTAGAGTGAATATGGAAATTAATCGTGTAATAGCTGCATTCATTTAAAAAAAACTCATTATTGTCAGATTATAATTTTTCTTGCAAATACTAGTCATTTCTATAAATTGAATTCCGATTTTGTTCATGATTTTTTTTGTCAATTCTATATCATGAGATAAGGCTTCAGTTAAAATTTCAGTCCAAGATAAAATTTTTTGAACGAGTTATGATTTTTTTTTAATTTTGCGTTTTTTTCGCTTGTAAAAAAATTCCTATCGCCTTTGATTCCCACTGAATAAAATCGGTGTCATCGATTTTTTTCGACTCCCGGTTTCACGTAGAATTGCCCAGGAAGAAATTGAATAGTTGATGAATATCGAGAAAAATCAATAATCAAGTCGAAGTAAGCCCTAAAATGTAGATTTCGGCGAATCTCCATGGAATTTTCTCTCCATCTTCTGCGATTTTAATGATTAAGAGCTGAAGTTCAAATCTGTCCTTCAAGAAACTAAGATTGATAAGTCTATGTAAATAGATTTGCGGTATTCACTGTATTCAATGACAACAAATTTGTATGTATAGAAAAATATATGAATTTTATCCTGCGGAATTGAATTCTCCTCTATCTCGATCGAGTTTGCCAATAAACGTATCGGAGCGCCCCGACATCCGTGCAACTGTTAACGTGCTGCCCACTTCTTTTCCATCCATGGTAAATCTTTATCTACCGCAGTTAGGAGAAAAAGTTATATAATAAAAAATGTGTATTTTTACATAACAAACGTCTTTTGTTTGAAATTTTTTTCTCTATCTGGAACCGTTTCCATGATATGATCGATTAAACAATAAAAATATCATAAATAAATAGACCTGACCACAACTTGTAAAAATCGACGTCGGGTTTGGATTCAGCACTTCCGTTAACGTAAATTCCATAGATAAAATGTAATTTTTTTCCTAGCGCATACAGAAGTAGGGTTAGCGTAGGGCGTACTATTTCTATTTCCACTCTAAAAAATAGCTTGAAACAACTTTTTGATAGCATAAAATTTTAGTAAATTTTTTCAGATTTTAAAAATGGGGCTTTCGTTAATCTACTTCAAAAATGGATAAAAAATTAAAGAATTGATAAAAAAAATCTGAAAAAAATCAGGGTGGATTTTTCATAGAGTAGAATCATGAAAAAAACGAAACGAATCTGAGATGGTCAGGGTTTAAACCGGTCGAACTGACATGGAATGCCCCATATAGTATAGTTATTTTTGCTAATAAATTAGTAATGTGCTTCCGAATGATTATTTTGCACATCATTTCGTTCTATCCACGGAGAAAAAAATTCAATAAAAATTATCAAAAAAAACCGTAAAAATTACATTTCGACTTGTAATCCGCGAGGAAAGTAAAATTCAATAAAAAGTCTGAATCGGAATTGAAATTGTACGAATCACCACGTAAATTCTACGATTTGTTCTGTAAAAATTAACCAGCCGTCTGATGACTCAACATTGTGGGGATAATAAGTCGTTCCGTAATTTTTCTCCAACGATTGAGAAATTCTACGGAACGGAACGTAGAAATAACTCACCAGCTTCATAAAAATTGTTGAACGTTCAAGAATTTTTGATTTTGGAGACATAATAAGTCGGCAATTTTCTGTAAAATTTTACTTCTTCGGGAAAAATTATGTGACAATTTCGTACTTTGTTCGGTGATGAACCTGAAAATTCACTGAACGTTTCAGATTTCTTCTCGTCTGTTCCTATAAAAGTTGCCGGAAAACGATTCCCCATTAGATTACGTGAATTGGTCCGTAATTTTTACTAACTATTTCTCTCCGTATCATGTGTGATTCATTGTTTATGAAGATGACGTAATTTTTTCTAATTTTTTCGGTCCGTGCATGTCGTTGTTTGCGATGAATCATAATCAGATAATTGATGGAGAATAATAGCGAACGACTTGCAAAAAACTATTTTATCAATATTAATTTTTGAAATATCCCTTACCTTTTTTGCAGTAGTATTATCGTGCTTAGGTGTAAGTGGTCTGTAAACTTTTGATGGCTGCTTCGCTTCTTATAAACTTTCGCCGCTTCCCCACTCTTGTTGCGATTTTAGCGTTAGCCAATCAACGACGTCGCTTCACTGATAAGTTTTCGATGCGTGTATTAGTCGAGTCGACGGGTGAAAAAAATCGAGCTAAACTTCCAGTTATATTATAAAGAATTGTTCGAGTCTAATTCTAAAAAGATGTACCGACTTATTTCATAAATAACCACATTTTCGTTTCTTTATATTTCTTATTGCTTTCAAACATTTTTTCTCTGAATTGCTGGACAATATCTTGGTATGTTCTCCAACTTTGAGAACCCTCGTATAAAAAAAATTCATAGAAAAACCTATAGTGAATTCGCTGCACAGTTCTATTGGATTTCCATTAAACTGTCTATTAGTTTTTGGCCTACTGTATTTTGAAATATTCAATAGAAAATATATGTATAGAAATGTGAAATTCCACCGATTCTTCCGTCAACTTCGATAACAATTTTTTGGACATTCGATGACAAATCGATTGTTGAAAAAGCACCAATATTTCCGAAACTATGAAAAATTAAGTTTGTAATGTTTATAAATGAATATGAATGGGTTGAGTAACGAAATACACTTTAAATTACACTGGTCTTGAAAGTACTTAAAACTTTTATTGAGCATTATAATATTAATTTGAATTAAACTCTGTTGAATACAAGATTTGGCTAGGTGGATTTAAAGGTTTGATTTCAAGCGCGAAATGAATCGGTGAATTGTTCGGTGTAGACTGAAGTTTAAAATGTTCGGAAGAAGTGCTTTACCACTCATCAACGAGGGTTGGAAGGGATTTCCAAAATTTCATTGATTGGGAAAACCGTTGAATATTTCCTTAAATGGAATTGGTCAAGGAAAGGATTAGGAAAAAGTTCTACACAAAAAAAGGACAAGTGCACCTGGGAATGATGCGCGCTCGGTACGCTGAGTGTCACACATGTGGTGCCTACTGAGGCTGTTCGGGAAACAGCAACTAAACCAAGCGCGCAAAAAATTTGGTTAATTGCAGACTGAGGCATTTCAACCAACAAAAGGGACCATTGTCCAAAATTTCACCTCTACGTGATTTTTCTGAAATGCGAGGGATATGAGTTTCTCACGAGTATTTCAATGTAATTTACAACTTTGTTTACGCCCACCCAAAAGTCTGTTTTCATTTTCGAACTTGAAAGTAAATGTGAGAGATATCAGAGAGTTTTAAAATTTTTTCAAAAATATACTTTTGCTTTCAAAATAAATTTATAAATAAAAAATGTTGGTACGCAACATCGTGATTTTCACAAGTTGTTAAAATTAAAAAGTCAACTTGTTGACATATCATATTTAAATGAACGATTCCGCCAGTTACTAGCTATGACTTGACTCTTCTAATAAAATCGGAAAATTTCATTTCATGATATTCTATGTATTTATGATGACTTAAATAAAAACTTGAAAGTTTTTTTTTTAAATACTTTTTATTCGTGTGTCGATATTTTTTTATTCAGAATAGTTTTTTATTTTGTTACGTATTATATTTTTTGTATATTATTATTATATTATTATATTATTTTTGCATATATATCGTTTTTTTAAATCCATGAATCCTCTCGATCTTTCGACAAACTTCTTGCATTCCTTTGAAATTTCTGAAAATTCTGACAATTCTTCCGCATTTTCTAGAATTTCCTAACACCCCTCATTCTCTTAAGGGATGAAATTCTAGGAAACCTTCCTCACTGTCAAAAATTTCATGATTCTGTATATTTGTATATGAGGTATTCTACGCCAAATGAGTCAACCGCTGACCCTCACCCTCTTGGACATTGATGGCGATTTTTTCTACGATTGGGGAGGTTGAAAAACTATATCTCAATTTTTTTCAGATTTTTTCGGCAGCCCAGTTCGGAGATATGATTTTTGTTTCGTTTTTCCGGTTTTTTTCAATAACTCGAGTTCTATCCATCCGATTTTGATTTATTAAGCGTCAAAATTTTTCATTTTTTACTGCCTATGAAAATATTTTTACTGGGGTTTTTTTTCGATCTCTAGATGCGCATAATAACGACTTTTCGAATAAAAAAGTTGAAAAACTTGAATTTCGCAAATCACGTCACGGATGATTTGTTAATTTTTTTTTTTAGTAATTCTTATAATCAAAACACGTATTTTGAGCCATCATACAAGTTGGGCATCGCCCTGGATCTATTTTATTTTCAGATTTTTCGTTTCGAAATTCTGTCAATTTGGTCGCAACACCTCAAAATGGCGTTGATTGACTTTGATTATAGACAGTATGAAGTACATATTTTTTCGATACATAATCGAAGTCGTTTTGTGGTGTTTTGACCAAATTTGCGAAATTTCCAAAAGAAAAAATTAAAAATAACATAGATCCAGGAAGATGGCCAACTTGAATGATAGCTCAAGATACTTGTTTTGATTATGAGAATTATTGAAAATAGTATATTACGTGCTAAGGCGGAGAAGTGCTGAATTCAACGCTGGTGGAGTACAGGCGTACGAGGCACGTGAGTCGTAGACGAACGGTGCCTCGTGCGCCTGTACTCCACCAGCGTTGAATTCAGCACTCGACGCCGAAGCGCGTATACTATTTTTTATTGCGAAAAGCCCGTGGGGGTTGGGGGGGGCGGAGCCCCCCCCACTGAAGAAAAAACAAATTGCAAAAGAAGAAAAAATCAAATGCATTTAAATTTCCCCGCCACAGCCGGGGAACAACAACTCCAAGAGAAGCCAACAAATCACCATCATCTCTCTGTAATCGTATTCCCCAACCTGTGATCAACGACATCTCACCAATTCCACTTCATGATGTCTCACCAGATCCTGCTCCAAATCTACAGTTGAATCAACTTCTACGTTCCCATCCAAATATCAATCTCAATTTTTACAATTGCTCAAATTTTAAAGTATTTGATAAAGAAAATAAGGAAAATAAGTGAATCTCGAGATCTTAGTTGAGATAGATGGGCATAACTGATTGTTTTGTTAGATTTTATTATTTAAACTGTGAGTATTATTCTTGCGTTTACGTTGTAGTTTATTTCAGAGTTTCAATAAAAAATTTTCTATGAAATGATATTTCTAATATTATTATTATCAAAATTAAGATTTTTTAATAATTTATTTTTCATTTTAATTTTCAGGTGTATTTTCAAATTTAAAATTTAACAATTTTGAAGATAATGAAGGGGATTCACTGGCTGAATTTATCAGTTTTTATATGTAGTTTTATATTTTGGTACATTAACGCTGGGGTGGCGCCACACGTTTTTCAGTCCTAAGGAGTGCAATTCTCACTTTTTCACTCCTAAGTAGTGCATTTCTCACTTTTATACTGCTCAACGGTAAAAAGACCTACTTCTCATGCTTAACTACCGTCGGTAAAAGAGCCCTTTTTGGGCTTGAGCAATGAAAAAAATTTTAAGTGTCAACCGTGACGTAATTTGCAAAATTCAAGTATTTCAACTTTTTTTTTTTTAATTCGTTACTATGAGTATCTAGGAATTAAAAAAAAATTACTAAAAAGACTCGTATAGGCGGTAAAAAATGGAAAATTTTGACGTTTTATAAATAAAAATCGAACAAATAGAATTCGAATTTTTGGAAAAAACGGAAAAATGGGAAAAAAATCACATCTCCGAACTGGACTGCCGAAAAAATCTGAAAAAATTTGATAGTTTTTCAACCTCCCCGATCGTAGAAAAAATCGCCATTAATTTCCAAGAGGGTGAGGGTCAGCAATTGACTCATTTGAGGGGGAATACCTCATATATATGTCAAAAATTTATCATCTTTCAATTTCTTAAGGAAAGGATTTACAAAAATTCCCTTTCACAATAGAGAATATCATTAGGTACACGTTGTCGACTAAAATTGCAATCCCCTAGTTCATCGGGAACTGAATACATTTTTCAAAGTTAAGTTGAATAAAAATATTGAAAAAACTCGCCTGTGGATGTGAATTTCGACCACTCAACTTCATTTTTTATGTTGCTCGGCGTTTTGACTCTCCAATGAGTTGAAGTTATTCGAATTGATCCCGAAAATATTGGAATAATTTAGTAAATTGACGAAACGCATCACTTGTGATTTGACGAGTTACCTACACGCGAGGCACCTTGCTTTCTTGCTTCTCAATCTCTGACATGACTATTCACTCAATTATTTCTCTTATCATTTTGTCATTTGGAGCTTTGAGTAATTGTATTACTTATTAATTGCAATGATGTTTCATCGTGTTTAAGATTGCTAGAAAGATAAAATTACATATTGTGACTTGAAGCCAAAATTTATATATTAAAAGCTCGTAATTTTATGTGAAAGAAAATCATCCCTTTTGATAACTCAAATAAATTAAATTTTGTACGGTAACGCATTCATAATCTTCATCATATTTTTCATTTTTAATTGAATAATAATCTCATTTGAACATCCAATATATTACAAGTCTTCTGCAAGAGTTACTCCACTGCAACATCAAAAAGGAAGAAAAAAAACATGAGAAATTAGTCAACAACGCAGAATTAAATTATATAAATTTTTATTCCATTCTCCCATACTCTGATGAATTTTAGTTCATAAATTCATAAAAAAGAGCGACTGGAACGATGGCCAACGAATCAGCACACCTGTAATGAAAATTTTCATCAATCTTCTGATTCATATACATTTTTGAGAACGTAATGATAATAATCTGTAGGATTTCAGAGTGCAACTGCTGGAGCTCACCTTTTTTTGAGCCTTGTAAGGATCCCCAATTCGTCGAAAAACAGCAAGAAATTTGTCACCCTTGTTTCTGGTAACTTTCTGCCCCTCTTCAGTACTTTCATAGAGTTTTGGTACAATAGGATCTGCATTCTATAGGTTCATTGTAAGATCAAGAATTAGTATTTTTTGTAGGGTCACTAAACTAGAAGAATTGATATCTCAACATTTATTTAAAAATCTTTCCCGAATCGGCATCTCCTCATAAAACAAGGATATTTCAATTTTCTTTTTAAAACAAGGGTGTCTCAAAATTCGCGTTAAGACCAGGGTATCTCAAAGTTCATGTGAAAGCTTGTTGTTCAGCTTCATTTCTAAATCTCACGTAGCTCGAAAATCATTTTATTTCTCTTCCAATGTGAAACTTACTTCATGTTATTTGTACTTTTTCATGCATTTATACTGAAGAATACACGGGTTTAAGGCCCGGGTGGATTATCTTTAGAACGTCATCTTGGTTGTTTTTTTTTTGTTTTGATAATCTGAAATGATCTCCAATTGCTATTCAGTTTTACATAGCCCAGGAGTCTCCAAAAATTATGATTGTACAATTAAAAAAACGTTGAAAAATCGCTGAACATTTTTAAAGTGCGTTTTTAAATAATATTGGGAAATAAACCCAATAGGGAGGAAATTGCAAATTAATAATTTGATGTATCTAACGGCTGTTAGATCGTCATTTGTCACAGTAGTCAATGGCTGTCAGATACCAGATACCATGTCAGTTACCATGATAAATTATCTATTCACTATTTCCTCTCTATCGACCTTATTTCTTAATCTTTATTGAAAACGCTCTTTGAAAATGTTCAGTTTTTTGCTACTTTTTTTAAATGCACAATCACAATTTTTAGGGACTCCTGTGCGATGTAAAATCCAATGAGAATTGTGATATTCTTTAAATTATGAAGGTGAAAAAACAATCGAGATAACGTTCGAAAAATAATCTACCCGGGCCTTAAAATAAATAATAGTTTATTGTAAATAAATGAGGTGAAGAAAAATATAACAGGAAGTGTAAAAAACGGAAAGAAAAAGAATCAAGCATAACAAAAGAGTGACGTTAACGAGAAGAGATTCGGGAGAAAGAAAAGAATAAATAAATCCTAGAACGCAATTGAGAAGTTGAAGATTCGTTACAATACGATTTATACAGCTGTTAAGAGAAGGGGAACGTGAGATTTCAGACGATTTTTCACATGAATGAATACACTTGTTGTAAAAAGAAAATTGAAATATCCTTGTTTTATTACGAGATGTCGAAATGTTCGACATAGAGTCTATCAGGTACACTCTAACACCTGCTTGTTTCCAAAGTATTTTTGCATGCTTATGAAATAAAATCAAATGTAATAGAGAAGCCCCTGATAAGGTCTTCTCTGGAAGGCGAAACGTTGGGCCATCGCAAAGAATTCTTCAACTTCAACTTCATTTCTACGTTTATAAAATTTCTGAAAACCGCTCAGGCCAATTGGTTGTCATCTGAATTTAGAAAATCAAATGTACTCACTGCCTCATCATCAGAAATCCTCTCAAATAAAGGGTGTTCAACAAAATGATGAACCATCCACTCATGTAGATTTTTAACATCTGTTACTGTATAAACTAGTGCCTGTGAAAAGATAATTCTGAGATTAATCTTGAAATTTCAGCTTCAATTAAGCATGACCAAAATCATACTGACTTGTTCAGCTAATACATAGGCGTACTCAGCCAGCAGAGTTTTATTAATTATCCGCCATTTGTGTTTTGCCTTCTTGAAGTGTGGATCTGGATAAAGGAAGAATATCTTCTTCAGCTACATTGAAGGAAACATAGATTGGAAATGGGAATGAATAAAATGTAATTCTGTAATTGTAAGTATAGTCCAATATTCGTACAAGACCCTAGACGATTTGCATTTTTCATGATCATTTGAGTACAATTTCTGATGTAACACACGAATGGTTGATTAGAAGGTATTGTTCCTTTTCAAAATAATAATTAAGAAAGTCGGAATAAGTTAGTTTATTAATAGGGGCCTGCGAGACAAAATTGAGACTTTCATTAAACTTTGGTTTTCATAAAAATTGGGTTAAATTTTGTTTTGTTTTGTCTATTTATCTATCCAAAAAAATAGACTTAAACACATGTTGCAATGCATGTGAAAAATAGATATATCATCGATATATCATGTTGAAATTCTATTCGTTCTCCAGACGCATTATCATCAAGAAGGAGCTGTTTCTCGTTGACCATGACGAAATTTGTGTTAGATGTAGACAGGGCGAACCTGAAGCATTCTGTTATTTACTTATGAGCTGTTCTGGATATAGTTCTCTTCGCGCTCATTACATCCAATCTTGGTTCCAGTCCAATTTTACTATCAACGAAAAGTATAATTACATCTTGAACTTGAATAATGTTGATTGTTTGAACGACATTTATATATTTGTTCTCCGTATTTTCGATTCTCGATGCTTTTGGTTTTTAGTTTAGCTTTATTTATTTATTTTTAACGGAATTTTTTAAAGAGACTTGCACTTGGCCATCGCCCGGGGCCTTCAGCCAGGTATTTACATTTTATGTATCTAATAGTTTATATAAAAAGAAAGAGTCTGAGCGTTCATTTTGCTGGATGAGTATCGAGAAATTGAAGATAGTTTTTACAAGATTGAGTGCATGATGAAAAGGTACAGTATAAAGCGATGAGATGAAGAGTGAGGAGTTTCGAAATTTCACCATTTATTGTTGGAGATTTAGCTTTATTTTAACAGTCGGTAATGCTGTGAAAAGTTTTGTTTTTTATTTTATTTTGATTTTATCCGTATTATGTAATTCCCAGTTCCCCTTGCGTCTTGATTTTTGTAATTCGTATATATGCAATAAATTCATACTGCTATTACTACTATTCGAAATTCAATTGATGTGCAATCAAGTTCTACGTCATACACCGACAGAAAAACAAACACGTTGTCAAACAAGTCTTGTTTGGGCCACCAAAATCGCTAGTTGAAAATTGCCAAAAAAGAATTTGTTTGGTTCAAATTTAAAAGTCTCAAACATGAATAATTGTTCAGCTTTCGACAGCAATGAAATAGTTGGCTCAAGAGGCGGATAATTCACACCAGACGGTGCCTTTTCAGGATGAAAATATCTCATCTGGAGGAAAATTTATCAATAAATATTTTATCCATAAGTTACAAGATTGCTATCATATCGTTATTATTGTTTCATTTAAGGGTTCATTTGTTGTCTGTGATTATTAGACAGCCGAAACGAAAAACTACTGTCCCTTGTTTCGCATAAAACGAAGATTTTTCGGGAGCAAAATACGTATGGGAGTATCGAATAACGAAGTAGTGCTAGAGATGACATTTCTTGCGTGTACAGAGAAGCAATTTTTTTTTAACTACTAAATCTATTTTTGCGACAAGAATTTTTTATTTCGGCGCACTCTCTGTATGTTTGGCACAAAAAAATCTTTTTTGATAATTTTCAAAAAACTATTTTCTTGGCACAAGTAAGACTTGTTTGAGAACTTTGTCGTTTTTCTCTCAGCGTAGATGCATATATTTCCAATAATTTCTGCAATATCGCAACTCCATTGCCACTCAGTTCTAACCCCTTTGTCGACTATCTTGTACGGAGAATACGAAACGAAAAACGAAAAATTTGAATAGCCAGAAAGTGGTGGTGTATCACTCGGTAGGAATTAGGGTCTAGTATCTTGTACGAAATTATTTTGTACGGAGACTGGACTGTACACACATCTAAAGGATGTTGGCTGGTACCTGTCCTTTTCTGAAGTAGTTAGGCAAATACTTCATAGCATTCGTCCTCAAACACGCGATGTTGTTGTACTCTCCAGGATATTGAGACCTCAGTGCCGCAATACGATCCATCACGTAATCAGAAACTTTTAATCTAATTTCCATTCCCAATATCAGGGTTTTTGGGAACATTTGAGATAATGTCACTGTAATGATCAAGAGCTAGTGGTTATGAAATACAGTCTAAGTCACAATAATTTGATAAGTTCAATGACGTTTAGGAATTCTATTAAACATTGATTGGAAATTCTATTTTTTTAAAAATGAATTCGCATTGCAAATATCAAAGCTTTTTGGCGCCATTTTTCATGAAGAAAAGAAAATCAATAAAGTTTTTTCTAGATGATTTCCCCTTGTAATTTTCTCTACAGAAATTCCATTTTTCTTTTCTAAATTTCTTATGATGGGAGTTGGTAATAAAAACTAAAAAATTCATGTCCAAGAATTTTCATAGGAATAATAACAACAAAATAAGGTTTGCCTTTTCTCTATCAAATATGTATTGAAAAATGGCAGGATAAAATTGCATGATTTTCAAAATAGTAAGAAACTTATTATTTTGACGATTATCAAGTCAATAGAATAATAGGTTTTATTATTATTAAGTCAATCGAATTTTCAGCGCTTTCTATTGAATTTTATTGTACGTGAATGCTAAAACTACAGAAGTAAACTCAAATCCAGTATCAAATCACATCATCTTATATTATTCTTCTACTATTGAATTTGTGTCTTAAAAAGTGAAATATATAAAGGAAAAATAATATATAATACCGAGTAATCCACCATAGCCACATCCAATGTCTGCGAATTCCACGTGTCTTGATGAAACTGATGTGTTTTCATCATCTAATTTGTCATTTGTGTCCGGTGGATATAATGTGCTCCAGTCAAACAATTCTGGCTTGATTGGGCTGTAATAATACCAAAATTGCATAATATATTCACAGAAAATTAATTAATAACTATAAATCGACACTTCTTAATAAAACAAGGGTATTTCATTTTTATTTTTAAAGCAAGGCAATCTTAGAATTTCTGAATAAATAAAGGTATCTCCGAATTCCCTATAAAACTAATCTATCTGAATTTTCGAACAAACGTAATAAGAAAAAACTATTTCGTGAACGCTGATTAAATAGTGTTTAACCGATTTAGTCGACATATTATGAATTTGTAATATGTTAAGAGATTCATGCTAGAGAATCAATAAAATGAATAGGAGGGCCGAGTAGAGTGATCGCATCAAGAATTCAACGGGAGAACTGAGTGGGTAGATCATCAGTCCAGAATTCATCAATGGGAAAATTGAAATCATCTCCTGAAACGAGGGCAGTGGAGTTTTGGAACGGACATATATGGAATTCTATGACTTGGAATAAAAATACGGATACAGGGAAAAGAAATTGAGAGAGTGAGAGTAGCCAGGACTTACGTGCATAACTACGCCTCGTAGGATCAGAATAATTCGAAGGTATCGAAGGTATCCTGTCTCGACATCTTGATCGGCACGTGCCACATGGAATTAATTCTCAAACACTTACGTTATCATGCTTTTGACAGCTGCACGAATTTGAGTCGTATGGGAGTATCGTGAAGTTTGAGGAATGGGAATAAAATTAAAGAATTGCTGAATTCTCTGGGAATTATACATATTAAATTAGTACCATTTGCACAGTATTTAATGAGAGTTACTGAGATAAGTATTTTTTTATTTCGTCTGAGCTACATGAGTTTTCCATGGAAAATTGAGATAGATGAATCTTATACGGAATTCTGAGATACCTTTGTTTATTCAGAAATTCTGAAATACCCATGTTTTATTAGGAAGTTTCAAAATTGAATGTGAATAATTTTTATGAACGTTTCTTTATTATGATAATATGGTTATTGATGTAGAGAAGGCGAGGTAAAATTAATTTCATTAAATCATCAATATTTCGTGACCAAATGGTACGATTAAGAAGAATCAAATCTCATCGTAAAGTCTGAAGGATCTCTCGACCATGAGAATTTGTTTTTTAATTCCACTCTTTCGATCTTGAGTGACTGACGACCGCAAATGGTTTATTTTACCTTCCTTTCCTGTATTCAACACTAAATTATTAGATGAAATAATAGTTGCCATTTTTATTATTATACCATTATTTACAATGGAGATTGAAGAAACTGAAAAAATGTGTACTTACTAGTCGATGCAATGATCTGCTATGGGATTCGCGTGTGCTCGTTGTCGGTAATATTTTTTTTGTGGCAAAGCCAACAGCTTTGCATCAGCCATAGCTATATGATTTTTTTCCTCATAAATGAACTGCTGAAAAGTAATTCTATCTGTATATCCTAAGTTAATTTATTTATTTCTGCACTGCTGTTTGTGGAGATGTTTATAGATAATAATTGACCACAACATAACCTCACAAGTATTAAAGCACGATGAACGGATGAGCCAACGTGGGACCACCCCCACCGCCAGAAATTCGTGGCAAGGAGAAAAACGCGCCAAATCGCCCTCCAGTTAATTAAGGTATTTCGTGGAAAAAGTCAAAACAATGAAAAAATGGGAAAAATAATGGGAGAAATTTCTGAGTATGCTGCATCATTGAGAATTCTTCCACATTTTTTTTCAGATCTCAGTCTCATGAAGAAAAATAATGAAATTTGGATGTTTTTGTAACGCCTCCAGCTATAACAGCTAATGTAAGAAGCGAATTAAAAAAAAACTAACTCATATTTCACACATTTTTCCGAAAATTTTGAAAAAAATAAATCCTCCGTAGCTAAAAATCTGGAAGCCCTGGACTGTTTTTGATATTTTAACCCTAGTTGGTCACCATATGAGAACTAGCGATTGGTCACCTCCGCAGGGAATCGCCGCCGTGTTATTTAGGCCCGAGCGTTGCCGAATTCACTCTACTATACTGCCCTGGCGCATTTAGCGAGACTAGCAACCTCGCACAACGGGCAATTTCATTTAACATGGGAAAAAATTGCCCGTCTGTTAGGAATAATTTTTTTTCTTCAGGAATTTTGGATATAAATAATTTTAAAAAATATTATAATTTTCTAGACACTTGAATTGACGCATTCCAAGTTTTTTAGGATTTTTCCGCTCAGCCAGTCAATGGTAAGAAAAAAAAATCGACTTGCGGCGTTTCCCTCCTATGGTGACCAAACTAGGGTTACGTGTTTTCGGGCAAACGAACAATAAAAAAAATTTTTTTTTGCATTATTCGTTTTCAGATCTATATAATCGATCTTCTACGTATGAAAAGTCTCACTCCAATAACCCACAACTTTCAAAACTCACAGTAGTCTCCCCTTAAAGGGAAACGGAATCCCTCGTAGGGTTTTCCGAAATCATTGTAAAATGTCCGTAAATTCAGGGTCAAATAGAGCTCAAATGAAATCTCTGACATTCGACTGCAAAAGTAGAAAAGTATTTTACTGGAAAAAAATAGACAAAGTACTTAGATATTCTTAAGCTACAATTTCACTGCATATATCAATATTGATCTTCTGTCCACCACCTGTGCCAAAAATCATGCTCCGATGGAAGTTTCTCATACTGAGGAACATCATCAAGCACAATATAAGGTGGGATGTTCTTCAAACGTTTGGCCTTCTTGAGTCCATCACACCCTACAAAAATTTGCAACCGAGCTTCACTGGTTCGATTCACGCTTCCTTTTTCCATGGCCTCTATCATTTGTACATTCTGGCCAGGAAAATTTTTATGTACATCGACTCTTTGCAACTTCGGAGAGTTTATAATAATTCTATGTAATGTTTCCTTCGGGATTCGATTGACATATGCAAAGTGCAAATATTTCAAATTTTTCATTCCCGTCATGCGGTCCGGAGATAAATCCACTAGCCCTGCACCTTCTCTGGCTCTTGCTCCGGAAGACAACGATATAAAAACTAAGGATTGAAGATTTCTCAGGGTGGAGATAGCATTTAGTGCAGGAGTCGGGAGATCCACTATATCTGAAATTATTGAAATTTCAAAATATGTTATTGAGATTTATATGAACCTCACCAATTAAAGTAAAATTTCAAGAGGAAATTCTATTGCAAAGATTTTTATAAACAATTTTGCCACGCTTTTTCGCATAGATAGAATGTTTAATGCAGAAATATCAATGGGTTTCCATCTTTCTATACTACAAATTCAATTCAAATTTTGGTTAAAGAAAATTCAAAAAATGAACGTGAAAAAATTTAGAGAAAAAAATTTGCATTTAAGGGGAGACTACTATGATTTTTGAAAATCGCGAACTACACGTATGAAAAAATGCTATAGGATTTCCTATAGGAATTCCTGTAGGGAATTCGAACATTTCTTATAGGATTTTGCTGATAGGATTCCCCACAGGATTTCCTGTCAGATTTATGACCCTAATCCTGACCCTTGTGGCCGATTGGTTTCGAGTCTCAATTTTGTGTGAATTCTTTTTGAGTGAATTCTATAGGAAATCTTATAGAAAATCCTATAAGAAAAATCCTATAGGAAATGTTCCAATTCTCCATATGATTTCCTATAGGATTTTTTCATACGTGTATTGAACTGAGATTTCTCATGCATTGAAGACCGGTTATACCTATGTCTAAATTTTTTTTTTTTTAATGCTTATTTTATATCACTTCGAGTCTGATGAGACTATATGGCGATTGATCAAGACTTTTTAGAAATGGTTAGATCTCACCATTCTACCCGGCCAGGAATCGAACCTGGAACCTATCCGTTGTGAGGCAACGGCCTTAACCACTACTATGTCTAAAAATGAATAATTGATGCAAATTGATTGTTTATTGTTCGTTTGCCCCGCAGGCGCGTAAAATATTAAAAATAGTCCACTGCCTCCAATTTTTGAGCTGCAAAGTTTTTTTTTCAGTTTTTGAAAAATGTTTACAATAATAATTATGAATTCGTTTTTTGAAATTCGACTCCTTCACAGTTAATTTCATTTTGTTTGGTATAAAAATTTGCGCCATTCATGTACAATAGGCATAAAAATTATCCTTAAAAAATCTCAAATATATTCTTGATTCTTTCAGAAACTTTTTTCGGGCTGTCACATGAATGGCGCTATTTTTTATTAAATGTATGTATGTGAGTTTTTTTTTCAATTTAGTTTTTCGACGATCATTTAAATAATAATCATCGAAATCTTTTCAGTTACGGCTTTAAATATTCGTTTGGATATTATTTCGGTCGTATTCGAATATAGTGGCCATCGCATCATTTCCTCTGAAATTATAGTCTTCTTCGGGGGCCAATCTTGGGCAGACATTGCTTTGACCATGAGCCGACATTGGTTATAAACCCTGGCCCGGCATTGGCCCAACCCTGACCCGACGTTGACAAGGTCATGTCACGGTCAAGTCATGGTCAAGGTCAAGTCAAGGTGGAACTTCCCTACTAATCTGAAATTGATAACAAACCGAATATGCACTTTTTTGTTTTAATTCGATTAATCCATTCGGAAGCAAATTGCTAATTTATTCGCAAAAAAACTATACTCGATTTACACTGTCCGATGGGCCACTTGTTTTTTATATGTCGAATAAATCCAGTGTAATGTTTTGTGAAGCCCATCTAGTCGGCGTATTGTGTCATTTGATTTGTTGTAAATAATTGTAGCATATATTAAAAATATTACGATAATAGTATATTATGTTATATTCTATACATAGTATATTAGATATACTATGTATAATATACAGTATATAATAGAGTACTATATGTATTATAAAATATAATGTACATAATAAAAAAATTAACTAATAAACTGAGAACAATAATAACATACATTGAGTATACGATATTGTGCTATATTATATATACCATTATGTCGTCGCATTAAAATCAAAGCGGCGTAAGTGCCAAAAAACCCATTTTAAAAGTGAAAGGGGCGTATGTTCCGAATTCCTGTTTTTTCGGTTTTTCATGGAATTTCTGACCAAAAATCGGAAAAAAAAAATCTAGGAAAAAGGCGTAATTGCTATATTTCAACGGGAAAGGGGCGTATCTCCACACTTACGCCTGTTTCATTTCATTCAAAAAATGACACTTACGCCCTTTTTACATTATGTGTTGTGCACTTCGGATGACACATTTCATGTTGAAATAAAACGAAAAGGGCGTAAGTCCCACATACGCCTCTCTCTCATTATATCTTAGGTCTACTCGCGATAATGAGTTTTATATTGTTATATCAACATAAAACGCTTTAACTATTTTCTTCTTCCTTTATGGTCTCATTTTCTTCCGAAGTGTTCAAAGCAGTCACGACTCGAAATTTCATACAGATAATTTCCTGAAATTCGCAGTCATAATTTAAAAAAATGAAATAAATTAATGAATGAAATCGAATAAATTTAGAAGAAAATTTTAGAAAATTTTAGTTTAGTTACTGATATTTCTCATGAAATTGTTTCATTCAAGCAAAAAATCAAAGGGAAATAATTTGAACATTCATGATGAGAGGGAGGGAGGGGAGGTTAATGTAGAATCAAATATTATTTATTATTAGGGCTGTAGTGCATGTGATTCCGTTTATACTTGATGAATCAATAGGAACGAACAGTAACAAATGAAGGGACATATATATTGGAGTTACGCCCCTCTGTGATTATTGCTTCAAAAACAAAGGGACGTATGTGCCTGAGTTACGCCCCTTTGGAATTATTCATTCTCAATATGAGCTAGAAAAGAAACAAAAAGTATAAAAAGAAAGAGGCGTATGTGCTGGAGATACGCCCCTTCAGTACTTGCTAGTCGGACTTACGTCCATTTGCCACTTCAGAAATTTGTCCACAAAAAACCTTTCATAAGTTGAGAAAACTCCATTTCGAAGGAAAAAAGAAACATACGCCCCTTTGGTATTAAGGGAAAAAAAATCTCAGAGAAATGGCACTTACGCCCCTTTGATTTTAATGCGACGATATATGCATAATGTATTCATTTTTTTCATCTTATTTATTGCCATATATACCCCATTCGAGTTTTTACATGTTTTTTGCGGTTTTGTGGGCCAACTTCCTCTCCAACCGTGTCGCATTGTACCCCAGGAGCTGTACCCCATGTACAGACTCTCCTGGTGACCAAGGGAAAATCATGGAAAATCTTGGTGGACACGGGCGTCCATCGACCGAGCTTCATCGGAGAATATTTTACTAACACTCCTCCGATGATTCTCAGTGTCTAGACTTCCGTTCGACAGTTTCCGAAAGATTAAAAATCGCGATTGCTCCAAGCCGGATTTGAACCCGCGCCTCACGGATCCCGCCGACCGGCCGAGCGATTCAACCGCCACGGTCACCGTCGCCGAATATATGCATAATGTATTATAATATAGTATTATCGTAATATCTTTAATCTATGCTATCATCATTTATAAACATCTAATGGCACAATACGACGAAAAGATTGGCTTCAAAAAACGTTACACTGGATTTTTTTAGACATAATATAATACTAGCGAACGGACGCTTTAGATTATATTATATTATATTCATTTATTTTATTGTTTTATTTCCAATTTTTCTTTGCGGTTAGATTAAATTAAATTTTTTGGATTCTATTCCCATTGTAGTATACAAATTGTGGGAACAGATTTTCTCATTTTCAAATGAAGATATATTTATGTTAAATAATATTAGTATAATATAATGATGAGATGGTTATAGACCTCTGCGGTCGTGAAGCGATAAAAGGAATTAAGACTTTAATGTAAGAAAAGCCCGACGTTTCGGCTACATTTAGGCAGCCATCTTCAGGGGCAGAATTTATTCAATATAAAATGTCTAAAACATAAAAATAAACAATACAAGAAACGTTACATAAATCACAGCATACCTATTGCCATAAAAAAACTGTGAGCTAACACTAAATACCTAATTGATTGAGTATAATATAATAATTCCTCAATGAAATCAGATCATGAAAATGATTTTTCGTTTTCATGATCTGATTTCATTGAGAGGAATTGAGAAAAATGCACGGAGAGATGATCAGCAAGAAAATAAAAGAAAACGATTTTTTATTTTTCGGAAAAATTTAAAAACTGATTTTTTTTTAAATGACGAAAAAATATCAATATGTATCCTTTCTATGATCCAATTCCAATGGAAGAATGTGGAAAAAAAGTCCGGAGTTTTAAAATTGATATATTTTTTCAAATAATGAAAGAATACCCATCAATTCGATTTCTACCCTCACATTTTGATAGAATACCGAAAAAAATAGTAAACAATAAAAATCGGAGATGAAAATTTTTATCGGATTAATAGAATGTAATAATATATAATCGATTGTCAATGTATGGAAAATCTCATTCCAATAGCTCGTGACTTTTAAAAATCATAGTTGTCTCCCCTTAATTTGGTCATTCTGGGATTTCCATCAGAATTTCAATAGGATTCCCAAATAACCAATTAATTTGAATTTTCTCTGAAATTCCTGCTAACGTGCTGTAGTCTATCACAATCTTACTTGAAAGGGCCAAATATTGGAGCCTGTCATTATTCTTCACTAGAGTAGTGATATCAATCTGAAGATTAATGTTTTGTTTTATGTACACATGCTCCAAATTTCGGATGTTTTCCAACTGCTCAATCCACATGTCGCCATGCAATCGAAGATGTGTAAGTTTTCCGAGCATTTTCATCCCTCGGATATGTAACACAGGTTTGTTTACGCAAAGGATGTTGCGGCTCGTAAAATTGACCAGAGTTAATGCTCGCAAATTAATGAATCGGCTCAGATCCTGAAAATCAATCTCCATTAATAGTATTTCGATGCTTCCAATTTTTGCTTGAGCAGCCATCATTTTCCGAAAATCAAATTTTTCTTATAATTTAGGAAAACTGTATGTTTTTGACTCTTGGAAGAACATATGGTACAAAGATGTCTGATAATTAAGAAACATTTATAGCAGCAGCTTTGACGAACTAATATAAACTTTTTTTCATGCAAGTTCTCATGGAATGCATTTTGAAATTGATGGTGCAGTTACTGCAAGATTCAAAAAATAAAAATAGAAATGGAAGACAGTGGGAAAAAATGTGCCGAATCCAATATCCAAGGAAAAACCTACGCTACCCTGACAAATAATGTAGATTGTTTGACTTTTAACACTCCATTGGTCGCGCCAATAAATCGACATAATCGTAAATTTGACAAATGTAAGAAAAATCTGAAAAAAATCAAGAGTGATCTGATCGCATACTTAAGCATTTTATGTTAACGTTTAAATTCGCTGCATATTGCCTATTTTGTTTCTGAAGAATCAACTCGGGGTGATGGATTGCAACTTTTATGAACATAATTAATTAGTTTATCAATATAAAAATGAAAAATCTATCCATGAGTTGAAAAAAATGTCGAAATTTTTTGAATGTTTAAGATCCTATTTACTAAAGATGAAAGAAACGTGAAGTTGTTTTATATCGAAATATCTCGAAACTGCGTGACCGCTAATCCTTAATTCTGATTGGTCAATATGTGACACGAAGTTATTCACAAAAAAAACACGCGGCATTTTCAAATTCTTCAGTGGTAAATGTTTTTTTCACGTCATATATATAATATATTTTACATGTATATATATCATCGGTGAAATTAATAAATTCTGTCCTTTTATGGAGACCGATTATTTTAAAACATTGAAGATAATTAATTGCAAATGAAAAATTCTTTATAGATTCTTTTACTCTACTTCGCTATTCACTTCAATCATTAGTCGAATTCTCTTTGATTCATTATCAATATTTATAAGGTATTCATGAGGAAATGAAATTCAATGAATTCCATTTCTTCATTTCAACAAATGAATAGATCAGCGCGCGCAATAGCGCGCGCATAGATCTTGTTTAGAAGAAATCGTAAGATGCAGGTGGCAATGTTTGCGAAACGTCGGCGCAAGGCTGAAACTAAACGCGGCATCGATCGGCAAGCCAATGATATCCTTAATCATGGTCGCGAAAGTCTCAAAAGTAAACCATTCAGAATCAAACGATTGTGAATTAGACGATAATATTTTTATCAATCTCCTCATCTTAACCCTTCGTTACTCGCGTCCACGGCACCGTGCCGGTGAAATTCTGTTTTTTAGTGAAACTTCCGAAATAACTCATTAGAAAATATGCACACATTTGTATACCTCACTGATTTTACAAAAAACCATATTGGGCAATTTCTAACCATGACCAAAGCCCCTGATTACAAAAAATTCACTCTTATTCTAATTGGAAATCAAAAGACAGCGCCGTGCGGCGACCCGACTGATCGTGTCATGGAAATATTTCACACGGTGTTGCCATGCAAGAGTGGAAAGACCTCCAGGCGAGTCCACTCGCCGAATGAATTGTGGCAACGGCGCGCGCAGACATAATTTACGGCGCGGCGCCGCGATGCGAGTTACCATGTCGGGCAGTTTCACGCGAGTAATGAAGGGTTAAAATTGCTGATGACTAATTAGTCCAAAATTTTGAACCCCAAAAAAAACATGAAGATCATTAATTCATTATCAATTATCATGGAAATATTAGAATACCAAAAAACTTACTATATGAGTGGCTGCATCCGGATTCCCATAATTTTCAACAAATCCCTCATTGAATACGTCGATTTCCGTCATTGTATGCGGTAAGTAGCCCAAGAAAGAGTGCCATCGGTGGAAGTCGAAATTTTTCAACGATACACGGTTTAAATGATTGCATCGCCCCAAAATTCCATTGAAGGATGGAGAATCGAGGATGATATCCTCTGGAGAATTTCCAGGTCTACTTAGGAAGTCTATTGCTAAATTACGGAGTTGTGGCGGTTGCATAGGTAACGGAGACAAACCCGAACTTTTATGATAGTAAAGCTTATTCAAGTAACGGCGGCATCGAGTAATGAATACTTGGATATCTTCGTGCGGAGTTACACCTCGTATGTCGAGATTTTTGGCCATGCAGGAATTATTGGGAGTGACGGTGGGCTGACGTTCGCTGACTGAAATTTAAACACAAATTCAAACATATTGATGATTTAATCAACATTGTTGTTCATTCTCCAATATACCATAACATTGAATGACTGCACACGCATGAAAAAATTTAATAGAAAGCCTCGGCGAATTCGCTAGAAAATTCTATTGGCATTCTCTCGAAATTCTATGGGGATTCCACCAAAATTCTAGAAAATTCTCATTAAAATTCTATTTATTTTTTGCGCTAATTCTATTAGATATTTTATAGGAAAAAGTCAATAGGTTTAAATTTTTTAATTAATACACAAATTCAAACATATTGACGATTTAATCAACATTATTGTTCATTCTCCAATATACCATGACATTTAATGGCTGCACACGTATGAAAAAATTCAATAGAAAGCCTCAGTGAATTCGCTAGAAAATTCGATTGGCATTCTCTAGAAATTCTATGGGTATTCTATCAAAATTCTAGAAAATTCTCGTTAAAATTGTATTTGTTTTTTGCGCAGATTCCATTAGGTATTTGATAGTAAAAAGTCAATAGATTTCGATTTTCCTGATTGAATTTGTCTCTTAAGATTTTTTTTATTAAAATTATTGGGCGCGGATTTTCTAAGTTTTGTCCGCTATATTTTGTTTTGTTTTGTATTACAGGATCTCAATGAAAAAAACTTAGAAAATTCATGCCCAAGTATACTTATAGAAAAAAAATCCAAAAGAATATTCATATAGAAGAATCGAAATCTATTGACACTTTCCTATCAAATATCTCATAGAATCAGCGCAAAAAACAAATAGAATTTTAACGAGAATTCCTTAGAATTTTAATATAATCCCAATCGAATTTCTAGAGAATTCCAGCAGAATTTCTTAGCGAATTCGCTAAGTTTTTCTATTGATTTTTTTCATACGTGCAGCATTGGCTGTATGCTCATGGCTTCCCCCTGACTGATTGTGAGTGATTTTTGTGCTGCTTGAGTTGTGCATTCTGTTTGTGAAGGCTTGCGTTCATTTGCCCCAGTTCGATTTGATATCAAAGTGGGTATGTTTTATGTGTGCTATGTTTGATGTTTGATAAGCTGATATGAGATGGATGAACTGATATGAGTTGTGCTCCAAATGAATTATGTATTAGTAGAGTTTCTCATATTATTAATGAATGCTGAGCTCCAAAAATTTTAAGGGCAATTTAGGAAACATTGCGTTATTCTCGAGTTATTTTTCTGCACTAGTAGGGACGCACGCTTCGCGCGCGCTTGCCAGGTTGCGTGAAAACAATGTGTCGTCATTTTTTAAATCCCAATGCCCTTGATTTTCACGTTCTATAACAATAAATACACTTTAAAATGGTATATGACTCCTTTCATTCACTTGACCAATAGAAAAAACCAAACAATGGTGAATTTATAATAAATATTAAAAATTAGCCTTAATAAAATAATTCAGGGGCAATTTCAAAGGAATTTAATACATTTCCACCGGGACATAAGGCTTCGGTTTCTGTTCCAATCTTTGGAGATTGGAATGGAAACCGAACAAATCTCGTTATTAGAAAAAGCAACATGGAAATTTTCAAAACGTGACATGTTAAAATCGCTACATTATCGCTTATAACAATTGATCTGGTCGATGGCGTAGATAATATGAGGTCTTAATTTAAAGAACTCAATGAGACCTTGAAATTGACATATGATATTTCCCCGCTGGTCAAGTCTATAGCCTCGATAAATGGCAAAAACAGTCATTTCCGGGGTGTGATAACGAGATGTGATAAGGCCATAGCGTAAAAAATGCAAACAATCAACAATAACTTAATGATAATTGCATTAATTTAGATTTATCATCCACCATTTTGACGAATAGTAAATGCTCTCCAAAATGAAATGTAGATACCTCTGCCTAGTCCACTTAGGAGCATTCAAAAATCCAACCAAAGTTAATTTTCTAAGTGAAACATGAAAATTCAATTTTCGTCTTTCATAAATTAATGAAAATTTGGCACAATTGGGCAAATCAGGTGCCATTTTAAAGCTCATTTAAGAAGTTTTCAATTGAGTACATTAAATGTATGGTTCATGAAAAAGGAAGGACTTGAGCATAGAAACCAAAGGAAAAACTTTAATTACGAACACGATTTTTTATAGGGGATTTTAAAGGATAATTGAGCGAGGTCAGCTGCGCACCCCAAAAAAATTACTTCTCACCAGTATAAATCGGTACTTGGGGGAAGTCCACTGTTGAAAAGTTCTAAAAATACTCGTCCCAAGTATATTTTGTGTCCTTGGGTGAAGTACCACATTTGTCGATTGAGTAGAAATGGTACTGGGAGGAAGTAGTATTACTACTTACTGCCAGTACTTTTAGTACTTTTCACAAGTACCAAAGGTACTAGTGAAAAGTAATTTTTCAACTTCTCTCGAGTACTTTTAGAACTCAATTTCAGTACTTCCATTTGATTACTTTATTGAAAAAAGTGAATATTATTACCGGATAGAATGGGCTTTCTTACGCATTTTTGCAAATAGAAATGTTCAGCAGAAGATATTTTGTAGGAAAAAATCAATAGATTGCTATTTCTATAAATGCTTTCTAGAATTATTAGTATGCTTGCCAACCTACAAAATTTCAATTTTGTTGAGATTTTTATGTTTTATGTTGTTATCAACAGTTAAAAGGCTTCGAAAATTTATTTTCAATTTCTTTCCAATTTTATTGCCCACAAAACGGGAATTATTTGGATTTTTTAATTTTTGATGAAATTCGGTTTTTAGAAGTGGTAGAAAAACATTTTTGAGTTCTTATACTCAACTTATATTGAGTTTATTTAGTACTTTTGATAAGAACCTGCCAGGTACTCAGTACAAGTAATTTTTTTACTTGTCCCATGTAACAAAATACTTGTGACAAGTACTGAGGTACTTCTCACCAGTACACAGGTACTTGACGCATGATACTTGCATCAAGTTGTTTTGTTGTTTTTGTTGGAAGTACAAAAATGTGCCTTTTCCCCAGAAACCCCTTGGTACTGGGTACAAATACTTTTGCTACTGATCAAAAGTATTTTTTTTGGGTGTGCGATTTTGAAGACCATTTTCTTTTTCTAGGGGATTATTTCTATATTATTGTTTTTTTATTTTTATTTTTTATTTTCATTTGTTACAATTAATTGATTGATTTTTATGTCAAGAAAACTTATACTTGTATAAGTACACTTTTATGGATAGGCTTCGATGGGCTTTCGCCTGAAGTCTCAATGAATAAATTGAAATTGAAATTGAATTTCCAACTTCATTTATATTCCAACCTTTCAAAAATTACCCATTAACAAGATAATTCCGCATCTAATAACATAACGTGGGAAACTTACGCATTAGGTTTTACCATTTTTCAATTGAATATTATTATTGACTCAATATTACCACGATTCATTGCCAATCTTTCATCACTTGATGCCTCCATTACTGCCGAATCTTCTGTAACAGAGTTCTGCCTCACGGGCAGAATCTGGTTGGAACTACACTCTTCTCCATCATTTGTGTACCAACCATCCCAATAATCATAATCGAATAGTTGAACGTATTCTGTGTCGGGATATTCACAACATTGCAAACGTGCTGAGGTCTTCTTCGATAGAATGGCTTTGCTCCTCTCACTGCGTCCCAAGTACAGTTTGAAGATGAAATCTACTTCTCTTGTTGACAACTTCTTTTCAATAGCACCGATCAAATCTGGACTAAAATCACAATTTGCTATGTTGAGGCCTTTGAGATTTGGAAATGCGTTAAGTAAGTTCAATAATTGGGGGTCCTTGGCAGAACGAATATCTGAGCAATCGAAGTACTCTATGCTTGATGACGAACTTATTTCATTCAGATTCCATCGAATCGTAGCTAAGCGTAGAATCTTGAGCTGCTTTAATTTTGATAAGTGCAAATGCTGATCGTTCAGGAGGAATTGCCCTGTGAATTTAAGGAAAATAACATGATAATATTTCCATCAGATTGAATTTCAAGTATTCCTATTCATGGAGAGGGAGAAAAGCTGAGTGTAATACGTACGACGCTCTTCCAACAGAAAGGTTCAATAGAAAATATTTCACAGAAATATAACAATGAAATTCAATTTTTTCATAAGGCATATTTGCAAAAAAATCGTCAGCAACGGAGCCGAGCGTTCTGTTTACAAAAAGGTGTTTACATAGGGGTTCTGAATGCTGTCGAGGCTTTATAGAAAATACCTCCCTATAAAATACCTCGAGCTCCGAGCGCTCGAGGCCTACCCCCACTCTCGCCCCTTTTATCGTCTCCCGAATGTTTAGTTTTGTGGGCTTTTATAAGATAGCTATGGCCTCGATCATTTGTCAATGGGATAAGAGTGATTATAAGGATCAAACAGAGTTGAGGGTCAAACGGGAGGGACGAGCAAAGTGATCATAATGGTCAAAAGACCTTAAGGGTCAAGAGTTCAAGCGTGAGAGTCAAGTGAAGTAATCAGAAGGGGTAAACGATCCCAAGGGTCACCTCTTTTCTTCGACGCTTTAATTATTAAAATGATGGCGCCGAATTATCTTAATAGAATAAGGCCTAATTAAAATTCAATTAATTTACATACTTTCAATAATTTGTACTTCAACTGTCCCGAAGTGATTATTCTCAAGTCCCACAACAATCCCCCAACATCAGCTACCATTTTATCACGGAGGGTTATGTTTAGAGAGAAAAGGAAACGCGGGCTATACGCATTCAAAACATTAAACTCGTATAAATTGATTAGTTATCAATATCCATTCAGTAAAAATGAATTTTCCATAGAATTTGGGCGCAACGAGCGTAGTATCTTATTTCAAACCGGTGATCCCTATTTTCTCCTCTCTACAAGCGTGCGTAGTGGGGGTATACGGATTCCTGGAATTCTACTCTCGTCTCTAAGGTATCCTATATAAAGACTTGATTGTATAACTAAGGGAAACGTGAAATTTTTTAGGACCTTGAATTGCACGCCAAGTTGGTTGACTTGGAATCTTTATTAACTCGTTTTTATCATTTTATTTTCATAATTTTCATTTTTTCGTCGATTTTCCTTAGTTGTATTCAGAACCTCTACGTATTCCGTGCTTGGCACTTT